ACATGTGTGAGAGGAAAAAGTTACTATTTAAACTACTCACCTTGAACATAAATGGCATATTCACACATTCCATTAGTCTCCTGCAGTTGTTCTTTGATGATCGCCTACACGGAGACAGAACAGGAGACGATTTCTACAGCTGAAATGGATGTTGCTCTGCGCCAACAATACGATTGTGAAGAGGCCACTTCTTCTATGGTTGTGTATGTGCATCACTGTGACCGGCTCAGCCGTATCAATCACCACACCCCTCTGATCTATAGTGCGCCTCATCCAGCTCTTTTGCTCTGCTGCACATACATGAACCAAAATAGCGGGTGTGCTTGGAGACACCCACACGGTCATTTTGCCGAAGGATTCGCTTTAACAAAAGGAGGCTGGCACAATTAAAACAGGGCCTTGACAGTGAGGAGTGCATCTCTTACGAAGAGAAAGTGAGAAGGAGGAATTCAGTGATATATTTTACAAGTACTGTACAGGCATTTACTCAGAGCTTTCATTAAGTACCTGCCAGTTTCATCTGGGAATACACAGGTCAATGCAGGGAATTAGCCCGTAATGAAGTAGAGTGTTAGACAACCCTGTACATGCCAGGCATTCATTATCTTCATTACTTCTTTAAAAGGTCAATCAGATCAACACTGAACACAGACATGGGTCAATGGTAGACAGGAGAATGGGGGATGATGGTACTTTACCTTGCAGGTATCATAGTCCTTACGGATGTAGTGCTGGTGGATCAGCCAGTTTCTCCTCTCCACAATGGGAAGCTCTGGAGCTGGAAGCAAGAAGAGGAACAAAAAGGGAAACTTTTCAGATCATTCCCCTTTACTGTTCCGATAATGTCTTATTTAGTCGATGGCTGAATGATTAATCCTGAAAGTTCCCTCCTTTCGCAGTCATTAGTACGTCTCTGATCTGACAGTTTAACACGTCAACCTAAACCCACACAGGCTCAGTTCAATTCACCGAGCACACTGTAAATCTGAGCTGTTTGTTTTTATTCACAAACTAGCTCAGACTATCTAAAGTTAATGTCTATTTGGACTATTCATGTTTAATTGAGTCTTTTCTTTAATTTGGCAGTTGAACAAATAATCATGAAAGCACCCCCCCCCCTCTCTGCAGTCACCAGCACGTCTTTGATCTGACAGCAACATAGATGTTAACGCTTCATCCCAAAGCCCGTGGGCTGAACTGTAATCACTTCACCATTCACGCTGTAAATGTCACCTTGTAAGCAAGTTTTTCGTTCCTGCTTTTTGTCTCTGGCAAGTTGAGATATTTCCCAGTTGCCAGGGCAACAATGTATCTCGCAAGCCAGGTGCTTGTGACAGAGAAGAGACGGTATGGAGAGGAATGAGCAGCACAATACAAAGCCAGCTTTACAAAGGGTTAGGTGACCCCAAGAAAACGACCACAATGCTCCAAGTCTTCCTCCCAGCGGAGGACAACATTTCATTTCACAAGGAGCCAAACGTAATTCCAATTCATGCAAGTTTTGATTCTGGTAATCCTGTTATCTTACACCTACTACCTTCCTCTGAGGCCAACAATAGGATTCAACGCACTGTGGAAAGAAGTGCTGGGCTTTGAGTCTGCTACTGACATCGGGGGGTATCGTTAATAAACCGCCTGGGTAAAAAAAAGAAAAATACAGTGTGAATTACACCAAAGCTTCCTTCTGTTTTTATCTGTCAGCACTTCAAGCAGTGCGCTGTTGATTTTTTCGCTCGAACTGGAGCCTCTTGCAACAACTTCAGAGAAATCCTCTCCATCGCCGAGTGTGAAACTGCATGGGTTTCACACGTTTGCCCCGTCAAGATTCGGAGTGGCCCTATTTGTAGCAGCCTAATCCGCTTTCTTCCTGCTGAGACAGCAATAATATTCTTGTCTCTGGGTTTCAGATGGGGCCCTGTGGCGCTCCAGAGTCCACATACACAAAGCAGGGCGTCTTTTGGTGGAGGAGAGATGGGATACGTGTGCGACATCCATTCCTGTAACTACTGTATACTAGAATGGTAGAAAGGAGCAGAGAAGAAAAGCACAGCATGAGGTCTCCTCAATATAATTCAGTGAAAGACTCCATCCCAAACATGGAGGAATTCTCTCATTGTTACATTTGATCTGGCTAATGCTAAGACAGATTTGGCTTCCATGTGCTCCAAGCATCTGTTAAAAGGGGATAAGAGCAGAGGAGAGGCGTGCTGAGATCAAAAGACACATGGGGAGAATGTAATAAAAAATACGATGAATTTTTCTTTGGAAGTTTCACCACGAAAACTTTTAAAAACCCCTCGGTCTTGTCAAGTAATTTATTCTCATATTCATCTGCCTACACTTTTTCTTCCAAGGAATTTGACAGAAATCCAAGCAGATTGCAGCACTAACACTTGATTCTGTAAAATGTAAACATGCTAATCTGGAAACATGGTGACCTTATGCCATCAGCAGTTTTTGTTGTTGATGGTTTAAAAGAAACATGAGCAAGCTTACAAGACTCATAACACCTCACGAGTCTTACACTCTAAGAATGAAGTAACTGCATTGCATATATCGTAAAAGCACATCGTGTACTAGTGCATAACATATTTAATTGTGTGCAAAATATATCCCCAATTACATTTCAGTACAGTAATGATAGAATTAGTATGAAATCAGAAGGTTTTGAAGACAATTTAACTGAGATTTGTGGATTTTTATTTGATTATTTTCACTTCTTGTTCATATTCGGACCAAATGTCATCACCCAATTATAGTTTTGTATTGTAAACATCAAGCGATACACTGTGATAACTCAATTATTTCACATGTCAACATGCTTTATACGGGTTATATCACAAATATATGTATATATAGACCTAACATGTGTATGCTGTTACTGTGTGTTCCAGTTCCAGTTTTCTTTTCTGAGGTCGATGCCCATGTGTGAAGTAAACTTAGTTTTATCTATTTGGCTCAAAATAACAATTTTGCTTGAAGGGGCTTTACAATCTGCACAGCATGCAACACCCTCCGTCCTTAGATGTGCATGTGTGGAACGGTTTTATATTGAAGTTCTTACTTACACTGTAAACTGCATTCTATTGAATGGTTATCTGAACATTGAGCTCTTAATGGTGGATTTCTTTTGTAATATTTGCATATTAGAGTTATAAATAGAATTAAAAATGGTAGTTTTTGACTTAATTATGGAGCTTTTTCTTCACTTATACAGAACTGTACACTTCTAATACATTAACCAATTAAATTCTGATCTTTATTTTCTGTTTTTATGATTCCTGTCATCTTCCTTTATACTAATGTACTCAGGGTTTTGATCTGATTCGTCTCCGCAAATTATACTACGCACCACAATAAGCCTGCATGGCATGTGAAAGATCACTGCAAATATAATAACATACCAAGTACTAAATAGCTCTCAAAGGACTTGAATCCTCATCAGTCCTGGTGACAAATACTAAATATTCTCAAAAGAGCTTAATCGTGAGCAACAGCCTAATTGGACATTAAGCCACAATTACGATGACAAAATCTCCAGATATAATATTTGATCAACAAACGTTTTCCACACAGAGAAATATCTGGAACAAGGCTCATCTGCATTCTGTACAAACAGCTTCTTCCTTCTAGGGATGAAGGATAGAAGGGTCAGGGTGACCTCTGCAGGACGATTAGTTCCAAACTCACTCTAGTAGCATCCTTCACCAGTGACAGACTAATCAAAATCAATATAGTGGGTGACGTAACAGGAATTGTGTAAATCATTTTACAAGATGACTTGCTAATGTCAACTGTCTTGCTGTACCTTTAGGTGCACGTCGTTTCTTGGCTTCTGTGGCAACTGGGAGCTGAAATGTATGAAATACAACACAAACGAAATAAGTAACAATCCATACATTACTTAGCAAAGTACACTGTACACCATCTATCGGTGTTACCCACGAGCAGCAGGTATGGTGGCTCAATCCCACTGTTTTGCTTTTGCTTAATTCTTTTTTCCCATAATTGGCTCACTTGAGTAGCTGCTGACTAAAGTGGCGACGTTTAGTTCATTAACAATCTCTTGATGTCATCACTACAAACGCTAGACGGTTTAGCCATAAGACAACTATAGTATTCAAAGGCAGCCTCGGTTACGTTGGTGCAGAGCTGGACGGTTAATATCGTTAACCTTGTGTTTACAGTATAACGCGTGGGCTAACGATTGTCAACATCGCACTGTAACGTTACCTACGCATGTCACCTTACTGCAGCCACAGTTAGCTCACAGGTTGTTAGCTTGCCCTTGGATGAGTGAGATTAAAGACGGAATGAGAGGCACGTTATAGCTGCAGGTTAATCAATTTAGCTCCGATTTAGAAGCGGGTTAGCCAAGCAGCTAGCATTCAAATGAACGAGCGTTACTACGAACGTTATTTACACCTACATATATATATATATATATTATTTATAACTGAGGCAGTGCCACACTATCACCTCACCAAGAGGCGTGTTTGTGTTTACCCAAAGAAAACGGGTGAACTAGCTTTGGTTTCTGCACTCACCGCCGTGGCTGTCTCCTCGTCCGCCATCTTGGGATGATCGCAACACTAGAAGTTGTTGCCATGGATACACCAGTGGAATGCGGAGGAGTAGCTGGTTAGGATTTATGAATGATGATTTTACTCTGTGTGTGTGTGTGTGTGTCACCGCCCTCACCAGCCTCCACCAACACAATGGTGATGATTAGTAAAAATGATATCATAAAAACCATACGCTGAAAAGTGGGTCTACCCATGAATGTAGTAAAAGTGCTTAAAGGGCAAAACAATCACTTTCCACCACAGCAAAAACAAAATCAGCCTTCTTCTTTAACGTATTGTATCAAAGCATGACTCTTCAGCTGCAAATTAGATAAACAAAACTGTAAAGTATTTCAGACAATGTCCTACTCCATATATCGTCTGCCGTTTACATCAGGGCACACAGTAGATTCAGTATTTTCACACCCACTGAGACATTAAAATGATAGTTTATTCAATGTTAAGACTGAGAAACAATTTCCAGCAAATACCCCTCCAGTAATTTATATTTTAAATTAGTCACCAATATGTAGAACACACATTCTGATCGTCGAAGGGAAACTTCACCATAAAACTATTTTCTCTATCAAGACACAAAAAAGAAAAGTCGGACAAAACACTGAGCCTTGTGCTCAACTTCCCACACAGGAATTGGTGGGTTAGGCACTGAGGTTACACCCAAACAATGTGATTCAGTGTTACAGTAAGGAAAGATAAGAATTGCACAGCTTATATATATATATATATATATATATATATATATATTCACAAGTAAAAATGTCAATACCAAACAACAAGTAGGTAGAAGGCAGCGAGAAAATACGAATTATCTGTGTCTATTCAGTAACAGGTGACATTTTGTCTGCAGTATAATTACTATGGATAATATACAGGTAAATTTGTTCTTTCTGCTCATTAATACACTTCACTAAGTACTGCAAATACACCTACATTCTATACTATACGTCAGTAACATTACATTGTCAAACCTGCACCGCGTCTTTCATTTTAACCACAGCAAGGCTCCACACTACGACAGAAAACATAATGGTATTCTTCACAACGCAACATGAACTAAAATGTGCCATCCCAGTTAAACCATATCTTCATTTGCCCTCAAGAGGAGCTCTTCGTCACACTTCACTGATGAAAACAGTAGAAAGAAAAAACCTTCATCCCCCATCACCTTCATTAATCATCATCCTATACAGTATTGTACACATGAAAAAACACAAGATTTAGAGCGGAATTAAAACAGTGTTCATTGGTAGTGTGAGATGGATGCATCTCATTTCACAGATCATCCAGTGGTGTAATATAAAGTTGACTGTACGTATTAAACTTGTTTATAAGGCGGAATGACATAACCCGTAACGCTCTACATCCTGCTGTCATGACACAAATATGTATTCATAAATTAAGTGGAACAATCATTCCATGACGGTGAAACATTCTCATGTCAAGTGTGCTTGTTAGATCATCCCGACTCCTCCCAGTGTTTACTTATGAGGCCCCAATATGTTAGATAGTAAAATCCTCGATACTTCCCGCCAGCGTACTTAACAGTGAAGGGATTGAAATAAATGTACTTTAACTCCAGCCCTGTTCAGTGGTGCGCCGTACATCTTTAGTCGACCATTGTTAAATGTATTCCAGTTAGTTATTTTGTGATGAAGGGTTGCCAATTTATTTTCATCAAACCCACACTGCCTCCTTCTTTGCCTTGTTTGGTTCAACTTCAGTTTTCTGTCTCCTTCCTACATTTATGACAACAGGGATTTTGCTGCATACTGATGAGGGTGGTAAAGAGTTCAATAACAACAGAGACATATGCAAGTCATTACATGCTCGTATAAGACCTCTAGCTTGTCTTCTGTATGTTTAAACACTAAGTGGAAAAAGCGGACACTTCACTATGTTCTTGTAGCGAGAACAATTTCCCTCAAAAGTTAAGTTGTTTTTTTTCATAAATAGGTCAAACCCTGATCCCCTAACCACAAGGAAGTAATGTTGGGACATGGCTATGTTGGTCAGAGAAGAGACTAGCCTGAAGCATGTGAGAAACAGTCTAATTTCCCTGGCTCCTGCCAAAGGCTCCCTGGGCAGCGGAGGTGGCAGCATCGGTTGCAGCAGTCTGGACTGTTTGGTTGGTCAGGACCCCGTGGGAGAACTCCTGCTGGGCCTTGGTGAAGCTGGCGCCTGTGTTTCTGTACTTAGCGTGGACCTGGGGACATAAGAAAGGGGGTGAGAGGTTTTATTTTGATTGGAATAATCTTTTTTTCCTTTTTCTGCAAGGCGTTACCTCTTCACACTGTGTCAGGACATCTTCATTTTCTCATCTTAAGTCAACCTTCAATCAAACTGAAGACAAGCTGCTTTAAATTGCACGGTATGCTGATTTAATTTATGTATTATTCAATCTGTCTGTATCCGTTTATTTAAAGTTCTGTTGTGTAATCCTGTTTTTGTTAGTATGCGTTTTATAATTTTGTATCCGTGTCTATAGAACCCCCTCAAAAATGAGATGCAACATCTTAACGGGCTATCTTTTCAATAAATTCAAAGTTGTTTATTAGTTAAGAGGGTATCTCAAAACTAAAGAAATGTCAGTGAAATTTGGAAGAAAGTTCAGGATGTTTTTTTCTAGCCATTTCCTCCATTAACGATAAAACATCTATAAACATCTTTAGGATTAAACTAGCAAATTTCTAGGATCATGCAATTTTGCTGGAGGTATGTGCTCTCTGACTGCTTCCTAGTTGCAGTTTTGATTTTTAGCAGCTTTGTATAGTAAAAGCAGATATTTGCAGATGATGAAGGACAACATGGTCTTCAGAGTCCACATGCTCGCTGTTAGAATAAAATGAAGTCTTCATATCATGGTTAGAAAAACAATCACAGTTGTATTTTTAGTTAATAAATGTTTTATTCTCTATCTACTGTTATGTGGCACATTTTGGGTAACTTGTTTGTAGACTGATCTGCTTGGAGTGTTTCTGAACCTTTATAACCTTTCCACAGTTTCTAAGTCTCCATATTCCCTCTGCTGCCCTTCCATTGCAGCTGCATTTCCAGTTTTTGTCACCACCATTTTTAGTTTCCCTTGCTATGTTACTCTCTTTGATCTGCATGCGCCGTCACCGAGTTGGAGCAAAAGCAAACAATATAGAGCCACAGTGGGAATACCCACATTTACATGTTCGACTTTCTATTTTATTCCATTAATTATAAAGGCACTGGCGTCTTTAATTTGACAGCAAACATACAGGATGTAATTTACTTTAAAATAACGAAATAAGCGTTATGTAACCTAGTCATGGTATATTCAATTTGACTGGTTAATAATGAAATAGTAATAGTGAAGGGAAGTTTCCATTAGCGTACCATTTTCAGTAGAATCACAGCCAGGACAGAGTTCACAGTGAAGAATCCGGCCACCACCATCATAACCACAGCCACAGCCAAGTTTGTGCCAATCATGCTGATGGATGCGATCCATCCACTGTCGACAACAGAGACAACAAATGGCCATGTGTCATTTCACATTTTCTCGATAATGAGTATAATAATGAATATCCTGGCATTAAAAAAATAGTACGAAAATAACTGAATTAAAGTCAAATGAGGGATGCACCTAACCTTCCCCAGTGACCAATGGAAAAGCATGAAGCTTGAAACAGTAAATGATGGAAAACAAAAAAAGCCTAATATATTACATGATATAGAAGAGAAACCCAAAGAGAAAAGTTCCACACACTTACAAAGCAGCAACCCAGACAAGTTAGGGCAGCTGGAATCTGTCAAAGAGATGCAAGAGAGGGGATACAGGGCAAGAACACACACACACACAATCACAAAGGCATGAATGAGGAAACGCATGAACCCATGCATACCCACATTTACTATGAATCTACCCAAAGCACACTCATTCTCACTCAGGAAATCAGAAACCTCTGGTTAGCAATGAGAAACTGTCATTTACGCCACACTATCACTCTCAGACCAACACGCAGGTGATTATTGGGTTAACAAAAGGTTCCCACTGACCTGTTTCCCCAATTGGGGATCCCAACAGTCTGGATGATGTACACGGCCACTTGGAAGAAAAAGACAAAGAAGAAGAAAAAGAAGCTGAAGGAGCTGTCACACCTAGAGAGGAAAAACAGAAACACAAGGGAATGTTATTAATGGTTGTTTAGTATTTTAGAGGTTTGTTAGCTGTCAGACTACTAAATAAAGAGGTTACGCTTAAAAGACATTCAAGTGCACAAGTCACACAAATGATCAAGAGAGCTTCTACAATTTGTAGCCTCCAATTAAAGACTTGTGTTTCAATACAACTAAATGATGATAATAAAAACTATTTTGACCAAGATATGTATTATAATATATATTTATTTTCAGTAATCATTCTTCACACAGAACAATTTTTTTGTTCCTGTTCTCAATTTTGTTTTGTTTTTTGTAAGAAATGAACGAACAACTTTTTTTATTTTATTGTATTTGGGCTTTACGACTCTGCTATGACTTGCAGATATACCTCTATTCATTTTTTCCCGAGCATATTCAATCTTTGCATCATATCTCACTGCCCGATGTTATGTTGTGTATAAGAAAATATTAATAAATAGATCACAAGTAAACTTAATTTTGCAGACATTACTCCAATTGTTCATGGTATTTTAGGAGTCCAGTGAAGGAGTAAAGGCTGTTTCAGATGTTTCTTTTCTCACAAAAGTACAAGTCTTGCAGAAAACACCTCTTTTCGGTGTTAAAAGAAAAATCTAATTAAAGCACTGTAAAGCTGGAAGCAAGAAAAACATCCGATAGTAGCATTTTCTAATATGTTTAATGGAGTACGGAGCAGCTCCAATATACTTCCTCTAACCCCTCTGGCTGAGTTGGAGGATGAGGGTGTTCATAAAGTTTTAGTAAAGTAAAAAATGAAAACCACTGCTAACTCCTTCTACTCCATGTGTCCCTATTTCTCCTGCTCGTACAACAAAACAGTTACATCCTGTGAGTCACACAAATCAAAGAATACCTCATCTAAAGTACAAGACCAGTAAAACAGTGTACCTGAAGGCCTTGTAGACGGGCCTGTACCAGCAGACGAAGGCCACGGGGGTGAAGAGGATGAACCAGACGATGGACAGACCGAAGTCAACGCCGTACTTAGCGTCTGCAGTGAAGTAAGCCAGGCAGGCCAGCACGTTGAGGAAGAGGGTGGCACTGTGGACTGGGGAGACACACGGGAAACCAATGAGCCATCAAAGACATGCGCCTCAGGACAAAGTCTGCTTTTGAATTGCTAAAGAATACAGTTGTGTGTATTTTTCTAGTGAACCCTCTTTGGTGCCCTTTTAGAGGAATTAATAGGTGTGAGTGATGTTTTCAGTAAACCCTTAAAAAGGGATACTTCACCCACCAAAATGAACATTTGTGTGTCAATTACTTATCCGGCATTACCTTGAATTCTTGAAGAAAACTTTGTTTTCCTCGCATGCCTCCACGGGGAATTGAGAATCAAAAAACGGAGATAAGGCTTGATGAATTGAAGTAAATGGGGGCTACGAAGATGCACGTGTGTGGGAAGTAGTGAGCATACGACTGGATAGATGAGTCTTGGATTATAATGCACGAGTTGTGTGAGTTTGTAAACAGATGTTTTGATACAGTTCTATTCCTATTAAACGTGGCCATAATTTAAAAAAAAAAATCTGTCCATATTTCATCATATAATGAGAAAACCACCACAGTACGTTTAGGATCCAGGTAATTGTGATATTAGATATCAACATTCTGTCAGAGTTGTCAGATGGCCTATTGATTAATCAATATCGTGCAGAAAACTATAAATATTGTAAATAAATCATGATGCCAGCCCTCCAATGGTGTGCTACAGACCTGGGTTTTTTAAAATGAGATGGTATGGTTGACATCTGACAGTTTGGTATGTCAAAAAGTCTATGTTATGGGTCAATGACTCTGTCATGTATGAAGCAAATACTGCGCGCAGGGCTACGTACACATCCAGAGGTAGTACATTCTCTTGCAGATCCTGCGGTACTCCTCAGGGATGTCCTCCTCAAAGTCCTGATAGAAGCAGGGCCTCACAGGGGAGAACGAGGGAAGAGGTGGCCAGTTGTTCTCTTTAGCTGACACACACACACACACACACACACACACACACACACACACACACACA